GAGGAGAAAAAAAAGCGCTGTAAAAAGGTGAATCCGGAAGGGAAAGGGTGTGGGAGAGGAGCAGGCCGCGCTTTACCCTCCGCTCGTCCCGCCGCCGCGTCTCGCCGCCAGGAACCTCCGCCCGCCCGGCGACAGCGGCGACAAAATGGCAGACGGCGGCGGTCCGTCATGGAGGAGCCCCTCCGCGCCCCGGCCGCCCCCGCCGCGCCCCCTGAGGGGAGGGGAGGGCCGCGCTCCGCTATGGCGCGCCCAGACCCCCGCACAGCTCCCCCCCCAACAACCGCCACCGCCGAGCGGCTCGAGGGCTCCGAGGCGGCCCCGGCTGAGGGGAACCCCCGCCCGGCGCGGAGAGGAGCGCGGAGCAGAGCGCGGAGCGGCGGGGAGGGCCCGACCGCCCTGCTTCCTCCTCCTCCTCCTCCTCCTCCCTCAGAGCTCGGGAGGGGAAAAAAAAAAAACATGGCGCCGCGTCCTACTTGCGCTGCCCGCGCCTGGAGACGGCCCCGGGAGCGGTTCGGCAATCCGCCCGCTTTGTGCCCCCGCGCAGGGGACGCAACGAGCCCCGCGGGATGGCCGCGCCGCGTGCCCTCCTCCTCCCGGCCCAGGACTTTTTAAAGTTTAAAGAGCAGCTTCCATCCATCCATCCGCCTCCGCCCTCCTCCCCGAGAGGTACGTTCCATTCAGCCGCGCTCCCCCCCCCACCCCCCCCCCGCCCTCGGCGCGGACCCCACCGCCGCCCTCAGCCTCCGCGGCCGCAGCGAGAGGCGGGGGGCGCAGCGCTCGGGGCCGCGGGTTCGAAACCCGCCGCCGCCACCTTCGGAGCGGGGCTCGGGCTGGGGGCCGCCCGCCTCGGGGCACCCCCCGGGCGCCGACCATTTTCGTCCTGACAAAGTTTCTCGGCCGCTTTTCTCGGGGAGAGGCCGAACCGCGGCCCCGAGGTGCGGGGACGGGGGTTAAAAATAATGCTAAAAAAGAGGAAAACACGCACACACACACGCACCCGGCCCTTCTGTGCGCGCGGGGATGGAGAGGTGCGGAGCGCATTCTCTTCCTCGCAATCGTTGTTTTTATTACCGCTTCCTTCCTTCATTCCCCGCTCCCCCACCGCCACGCGAGCGCTCCCCAGAACCCTTTTCCCCTTTCCCCTGCTCAGCATCGGCAGGGAGAGAGGAGGAGAGAGAAAGGGCGCGTTCATGAGCACCACAAAGTTACAAATATGGCTCCCCAGCCTCCGCGCCCGCCCGCCGCGCACACACCCGCCGCGCTCCGGACCCCCCCAGCACGAAGCGGCCCCCCCCCCCCGGGGCGCCGGGGCCGGGCGGGCCCCCCCCCGGCCCCGCTCCGGGATCGCCCCCCAGGTGCGAGGTGCGAGGTGAGGACCCCCACCTCCCCAACCCCCCCCCC